TTTTTTCTTGGTGGAAGTTTGTAATGCCAGGAACAAGTCTTTTGTTGATACTATCCGACAAATCTATGGGTACATTATGTAGTGCCATAAATGATTCTTGCAAATGTTTATCAAGTATCGTAAAGGCCGGGACCACTTTTTCATAAGCAATCACGGATAATTTTTTATACGAAAATATTTGACTCACATAATCGCCCTAAAAATAATGCAATAAATAAATGAAATATATATATAAATATATAAATAAACATATTAATTTAAAATTCATTTACTAATTGCTTTTCGTCATCAAGCTTGTTATAATATAAGTCGTACAATTCAAAGTCGGTTGAACTTCTCTCAAATGGTCTCCTATATTTATCATTATGTCCACGACGTATTTCATCAATAATCCAAATTATATGAGCTTTTAGAATATCGAATCTTGATTCATTTTTAAAATCAGAAACGTTTTTAATAATCAAACCGCCTCCAACTAAAACAGTCTCAGAAAGAAATTGTTGACACAACTCAATTCTGTTTGATCTTTTAATGGATTCGAGAGGATTCCCAATGTATGTAATTTTGAATACGGGAATGAGCAGTTTAAGGTGTGTTTGAGGCAAGTAGCCACATGAACTTTCTTTTTCTGGCAAGACTTGTTTTTCGTTTTCTAAAGTTATAATTTTTTCAGAAACAATATCCCAAGTAGATATTTGCTTTTCTTCGGTTGGTTCATAAATGAATATTTTAGTATAGCTTTCGATATTAAGTTGACCATCATCAACTAATGGTTCGGTGTGAATAAAGTCTCCATCCTGATATTGAAGCCCATGGTCTAGCTTTAACCATTTTACAAATTCCTTCTCTGTTTCGTTCATTATTGTTTTATTTTATTTATTTTATTATCTTTTTGAATTTAAATTATTTTGAAAAAAAGATCCGGCTTAAATATATAAAAAAAACTGGTGATACATGTTAAATAAGCATTAGAGGTTTTTTAACGACAAATCTAGCCGGTACTATTTCAATAACGATAAGTATTACAGTATAATCTTTGCAGTCCGTATTACAATATTTTCCTAGTATGAAGAAATTAAAAATATCGACATGTACAAAAATGGAAAATGTTAAACTATAAATATTTATCTCGAGGGTTGCATTTATTACAGTTTCGTCAAGTTCTTTAGTTTATTATGAGAAAGAAATGAACTTCATACCTGATAAATTCATACCTTTTCTAAAAGAAAAGGATACCATTGAAGATGTGACGATTAGAGTAGACAATGAACCTGGTCCTGGTTACAATGAAAAGCTAGACATAAAACAGTGTCTTTCAGAAATTCGAAGTCAGTTATTAAATTCATATAAAGAAAACTCAAGCGGACGTATATGTATTTATGAAAATATGTACTTTATTAGGAGAGGCGGTGGGATTATAAACAAAAATGACGAAAACATTTACAGATTACGTGATGCACTTCATGACGGTAATATTTTACGAATTAAAAGATTGTCTGAATTTAATGAATCAGAAATTATAAACCGTTGCAAACTAGAATATGGAATTAAAATGTCTGATGATGGGCTTGTTGAACCTCACGGGAAAGCTTTTACTTTCAATAAGCAAAATAATATTATTGAACTGTTCAAAGACAATGCAGATATCTATAGTAAAGCCGAAAAAATAATACGAAATAATAAACATGAAATCACTTACCAAAAAAAATTCAATTTCCAGTATAAAAGTTTCTCCTAAATTGCCTTGGTCTTCATTATCAGCTGATTTTAACGTATCGCATAAAGCATCAACTAAAAAAACAAATTACAGTGAAACTTCTATGTCGTTCGACGTTAATTTACAAGGACGCGCTAAAATAATTATGACTGATAAAGTTCGTCCGTCTCAAGAATTTGAGAACGAAGTGAATGCTGCTTTAAATTGTGCTAATAACCCCATTGAAGAACTTAGAAAAGTCTGTAATAAGTATGGAGAATTTTGGGCACGTGAAATAATTCTAGGAGGTAAAATTCAAATAGTTCAAGATGATTTCGTTGAAATTAGTACACAAACAAAGAAAAAAAT